TTCATTGAAGCAATATTCATAACAGCTATAATATAGAATGAACCTAAGTGTCCATCAATGGATCAATAGGTAAAGAAAATGTGCTATGCATATAATATGGAATACTTTGCATCTTTAGAAGAAGACTATGTTTTGAATCTACAAAGTCCCCCAAAGTCTTTTGTGTTAAGAGCTTGGTCCTCAATGCAACAAGGTTCAGAGGTGCCGCTAGGGGGAAATAATGAGATCATGAGAGCTTGGACCTCATCAGTGGATTACTCCATCAATAGCTGAATGGACTACTAGGAGGTTGTGGAAAACTGTAAGCAGGAGGGGTATGGTGGAAGGAAGTGGGTCTGTGGAGCATGACCGTTGGGACTCTATCTTCTCCCTAGCCCCTTCTTCCTTCTCACTTAGCTGACTGTTTCCCAAGAACTGAGCAGCTTTCCTCGGCCACATCCTTCTGCCTTGATGTTCTTCCTCACCTCATACCTAAAGCAATGGAGGCAACCAACCATGGACTGAAACTTGTGAAACCGGGAGTCAAAATAAGTTTTTCTCCTCTAAGATGTATATGTTAGATGTTTTGGTCACAGTGACAAACAGCTGACTAATACAGAAGGATATAACAGCTTTTATTACAATATGGATGAAAGTGAAGGACATTAGGATAAATAGAAATAAACCAAACTCAGACTAAAGAATATTGTATGATCTTACTCATGTGCTAAAACTAAAAAAAAAAAATGAATAAGTAGAAACAGAAGAGAAGTACAGTAAACAAACAGAGTTAGATGAACTAGGGAAATGTAGGTCAAATTCTAAAGGAAACATTGGATAGCATGAGTAAATCAGGGTGTGTACTAAAGTAAATAATGTTATTTCATGTAGAAAATTTGAAAAGATTGAGGTGCTCTGATCACCAAGATTCATAAACACACCAAGTGTCTATGTAAAGTGATAGATGTGCTTATTTCCTTGACTATAAAACATTGCACTATGTATATGTGCATCAAAACACCATGTTGTGTATATCAAGTATGTATATACCATAAAAATGCATTTAAAAAAGAAACACAATTTAGAGAACAAATATCAGATCCTTGGTTGAGTCAAGACTGTGGTACTTGGTTCACTAAAATTACCATAGGAGCGTTTGGACTGTAATAAGACTGGCAACATCTGGATGGTGTTATGGTTTCAAAATATAAATGTGTAACTGCAGAGCTGCAGATTTTAAAAGCTTTAATTTTATTTATATAAATTATTTCTTAATTAAAATTTTAAAAGTGTAATAACAAATTACAAAGCATTCATAGAATGAAAGGACTTACTTTACTCTATACATCAGAAGTTTTTATTGATTTTTCAAGATTCACAGAAATCATATAGCCCTCCAGCTCCTCAAAACCAACAACGCTCCCCAGATACTACCTCTCACAGGTCTGCTACTTTGTAGCTGTGTCTCGCATGGACCAGGTATGTAGTCTCTTTTACGTTACTTTCCTATCTGTAAATGGATCTAAGTGATCATGATTAAAGTAGGTAGTGCCAGAAAAGTATCTGAAGCTCCCAAGTAAACAAGTCTTGGAACTTTAAATTCTGTGACTGAGATGATCATGGACTCTATACCTATGTCACAACAATGGATGTTAGAGCAAACAAGTTCATGTAACTTCTCGGAGACACAAAAATAAAAGAGGTAAAGAAAAACTATAATGGAGACGAAGATACTTGTACAGAGGTAGGAGAGGACAAAGGACAAAAGGGATGTGATAAAAAAAAAAGCAAATAACGACACTATTATTATACTCACACCTTATTGATTAAAAATAAAATATTATTCAGGCACAGTGGCACATGCCTGTAATCCCAGCAGTTGGAGAGGCTGAGTCAGGGCACAAGTTGAAAGCCAGCTTAGGCAATTTGGTGAGGCTCTTAAGCAACTTAGTGAGACCAAGGAGGACTGGGAATAGCTC